TATACGTTGTTCTGATTGTCCTCATAAAATACCAGGATGGTCTCTCTAAATAGTCGAAATAGTCACATGTTTGATATTGTGTTACATGTTACATTAGTTACATACAGTATACATGCGCACTATGATCGAGCGATAGGAATGGATTTATCCCTTCGTTCCCATCGGTTTTCGTACACTGGATTAAAGTGATTAGAATTTGGTTTTATTCTGATACTTTGACAGATTTTCTGTAAAAACTGGCTGTGGTTTGTTCATTATAAATAAGAATTTGTCGCTATACAATGAAGAGAGTAATTATTTTTGTTAATGGGACTGATGTTAATGGCAAGGTAGTGCTATTTTATGCGAATATTAATTTGTATTTAAATGTACATTTTGAAGATTACTTTATTTATAAAGTTGATTATTTAGGATATACAAATTAAGAATAAAAGCTGAGGATAATTATACTTTTATTTGACATATTGCGGCTAAATTATTACATTAATTGCACATTTAGTGTAATCTTTTACATATATGTTTATTTTTACGTTGATGCGTTACAATTTGCAATATTCCACTTGCAATCAGAAAAAGAAAAATTCTGAGACATTATTCGCACATTATGCACAGTGAGCTATAAGATTTTTAAAGGCAGGAAATATAAAATCTGCAAAAATTTACAAAACAACACTAGTATAGTATAGGAACATGATATGAATGACGTAAATCGGTATATGATTTAATGAAGTCATAATGATATGAATGATGCAGTCCATTCCTGACTGCATTGTGAATTAAAAGCATTTATTTCTCAGTGCTTATAAAGAAGCTAGAAAAATATTACTGTTGACAAGCATAAAGATTATGTTGATAAGAAGTGTTATATAGTTTTCATAGTCGCAAGCATTCTTGTAATCTTGAACAGAAAATAATTGCTTCTATGAAATGTTTTTTTATTTAACCCTTGTAATTTAACTTCGTATTTTTTGTTGTGTCAAACTAATATATTTTTCTCGACAATTATATTTGTGTTTTATGCATTGTTAAAGCAACATATTTGGTTGGCCTAAATTTTTAATTTGCACTTCAAGTTTATATTTCACGATGTTTATTTTATTTACTGTAGGTATTTGTAGTGACTCATTCATTAGACGAATTATTAACAGCAGCTAGTGCAAAATTTGAAATAACTGCAAAGAGAATTTTTACGTCACAAGGTGGTGAAATTGATGATGTTAAACTCATTAGGTAAGATGCTTGTTCAATTATATTTTATAAATATTTTTTGTTTGTACATAATAATGTGTTATTATTAATATACTAAACTATCTTTTTTCACAGGGATGATGACATTTTGTATGTTACAAGTGGAGAAAATTTTATATATAGAAATAAAATTTTATGTCATAATCAACCAATGAAGAATTCAGAATGGATTACACTAAACGTTGGAGGGAAATATTTTACCACAACTAGGGATACTTTGACTAAAAAAGAGCCCATGAGTATGTTAGCAAGGTATATTGCTTGTTTCTAATTAATCAATTTGTATTAAGACAAATTTGTGTAAATGTACATACAATTTCCTAGTATAATCAAATAATTTTTTAGTACAGTTACTGTTCTCATAGTTATCTCTTTTTTCTTACAACAGTTTTATATAAAATTTAACAATTAATTTGACATTAATTGGTTTAAGACTAAAATTGGAGTTTGAATGACATTCACAGTTTACAATATGCTTTATGTAGATAAAAGATATTCATTTAATATCAAAGTTTATAAAACTTATACTAGATTATCAAAATGTAAAAGAGTAAAAATGAAGAAGAAAAAGGGAAAGCGTGTTTTAGTATTGTGTTATATAGAAGCGTGTTATATAGAATGTTTACAGAAACTGAAAATAGTGAACATGCGATACAGCCAAGTAGACAAGATCATCGCGGAGCATATCTGATTGACAGAAGTCCTACGTATTTCGAACCATTATTAAATTATTTGAGGCATGGTCAAATGATGCTTGATTCCAATGTTAATGTATCTGGTACATATATCTTTGCATTTTATGTATGTCTATACAACTAATCTATTGATTACAAGGCTAGTATTTTTTATGCAGGAGTTTTAGCAGAAGCTTGTTTTTATGGTATCGAAGGTGCTATTCGAATCCTTACTACAATGTTGGAAAAGGAAGAACTGCAAAAGGAAGGTCTTGTATCTCTAACTCGCAAAGATGTACTTAAGGCAATCATGTCTACATCAACTAATGCAGAACTCAGATTCCAGGGAGTTGATTTTGTAAGAGCCGATCTTTCGAAACTAGATCTTAGGAATATTAACTTCAAGGTACGTTTATTTTGTACAATATGCAAATAATAAAAAAATCCAACGTTGTATAATGCAATTTTGTTCGTTAGATTATATACGCGATCTTTTAATATAATCGTAGCACTCAATCTATACATATAAGTCTAACTGTATTCTATAATTTTTTTTCGTATTATACGTTTAAGCATAAAAGATATTATTTGCTACTAACTAATTGATAGACATGATAGATTGATTGAATTGTTATAACTGTATTTACGCGTTTCTTGTTATATTACAGTACGCCATTATGCATCACTGTAGTCTGGCAGGTGCTAATCTGTCAGGATGCTGTTTCGAACGCGCTGATTTATCCCATGCCAATTTGCAAGGCGCACAGCTTGTATGTGTTAAAATGTCATGCGCAAATCTAGCTGCAGCCAATCTACACTCTTGTAATTTTGAAGATCCTAGTGGTCTGCCGGCAAACATGGAAGGTGTAAATTTGAAAGGTGCAAATCTTGAAGGCAGCAACATGGCAGCGGTCAACCTTCGAGTAGCTACATTAAAAAATGCTATTCTTAGGAATTGCATTTTGAGATCAGCTGTTTTAGCTGGTGCTGATTTAGAGGTACTAATCTCTCGTTATTATGTATTTTAGACTATTTTTTACTAGAAATTATGTATTAATATCTTTCTTAAAATATCCGTTTTTATTGTTATATTTAGATGCACTTACATATCCGTGTTTAAATTATTTTTTAGTGCTGTGATTTATCTGGCTCTGATCTACAAGATGCGAATTTACGCGGCGCAAATTTGAAGGATGCTGCTTTTGAGTTAATGTTAACGCCACTGCACATGTCTCAAACAATACGATAACAATGAATGTCATGCTGCACACATTACTGCAGCTTAAATTCAGTATAATAAACGTTTTATAGTTTTATATAATTTATATTAATTTAAGTGTGATTACAGCGTTGTAATATATTATAGTACTATTTTTGTTGTACTTTAAATACAATAAGTAATCTTATTCTCAAACATTGTTTACAAACATTGATTATTAAAGTAAAATTATAGTATTTATTTTAATATTTGTGTATGTTTAATCTGTTTTTTTTATTATACTTGTGACACATTGTTACATTTTATTATATGTAAGAAAAAATTAAAGAAACTTTGTGATTATATATATTATGTATAAAATAATGTTTTCAATTGTCTTATGTTAATTTTATACATTAATTTTTTGCTCTTTTAACACATATTTTAAATTGTTTACTATAGACATCAAAGCGAACTTCAAGCGCACTATTTAGCTTTTTATTTTTTATTTTTTATTATACGAGTATCCAATTTTAAATGCATATATTTATATTACATTATATTACAATTGGTGCGTTCCATTTCGTTTATAATACGCATGATGTATCATTTTATTCTTGTTTACTGAATTTTAAATAAGGATAAAATGATACCTATCATTACATGCGCATCAAATGGAAAGCACCTATTGTTAATCCTTCGATATGTAAGCTGTCAAAATATGCGGTAGCGGTCGCTCACGAAAATAACGTAATCAGCGTTGCGGAAAAGAACCAGCAAAACTTTGAAACTTTTGAGTATCGATTTAACATTCCTTTTTTTAAGATAATATCTGATATATTTTCTGTTTTTTTTTTGTTATATAAATAACTTAATTACCCGTGCAAATGTTACATTATATAATTTTGATGTATTTTATAAGTGATAAATATTTATTATAGAATTAGTATATTATTACAAAGTTAAATATTTTAAAGTTTAGAAAAATATGTCGCTTAGAGGAAAGGTGTTAAACAGTTACATATTATAATAAGAAACTAAAGAAATTTTAATATATTTTACAATAAAATTGATCAGTAAATGTAGAAACTGTTTTACATGATGTAATGTTTTTCGGCTATTACTCTATTGATCAGATTTATGATTTTTCTAAGAAAAATATGATAAAGAAAGAAAGAGAGAGTCTAATGTGTTAGTTATATACACAATACTATCAAGAATAAAATATATGTATATATATATATATATATATATATATTACTGTGAATAATTCTACAACGCAATTATATAACAAATAATGTAACACAAATATAATCCTATATATATATACATATAATATTAAGAAGTAAAATTTTTAATTTTATTTAGCTATAGTTAGTTTACGTATTTAAAATATTATTATATATATATAAGTTTAATTATAATTTAATTTTTTATTCTATATATTGTATTAAGAATAGTTTAATGCAAGTTAATTATGCGTTCATGTATATTTTTAATATATTTACATATATAATCCAAAATATGTTAGATACTATATTTTACACAAGTGTGCATAATAAATGTAAATAATAAAGCGTCAGCAGAGAGGTCCATAATCATGTAAAATGTTATACGATTTTTCTTCTTAACTTATAGAACCTACGCAGAACTCACTCAACTTGGCAATATCGTGCGTCTATAATGAAAAACGATTAATATATATGTATATATGTCCCGATCCGTTTTTACAATAAAATAATTTTCATACTTTTGATTCGTCTTTCTGTCGATTCTTACCAGGTGTTATGGATATTATCCAATCAATGAAAGCTCCTGTACGCATCGCAACAGCAGGATTATCTGAAGCACAGCCAACACCGGAAGATGTAATACCAGCCAATACAAGATTATGCGTCATAGGATTCTGCCATAAAAGAGGTCCACCACTGTCCATCTATGGCGTAAACAAATAAAAAGAAAGAAGAAATCTATATAGTTTTGCATCATAATTAATTCTTGATTAATACATTTAACTATATGACATTTAAATTTACAATGAAAAAACTATCTCTAATTCACCTGACAAGTATCCTTTCCCGGAGAATAAGTACACATGTTATTATCGTTTACATTAGCATAATAATATTTGCATTTTTGATAAGTGATTACATCTAAATCCACTTTTTGAAGTTTAGTAGCTTTACTGCCGCCAAATTCCAGAAAACCCCAACCTAACGATTGAATGATATTAAACTCAGAGAGAAATGATCGCGCGATCTATTCGTCGATATCTATATATAAACATATTCGATATCTATATAAACATATATTAGACATCGATTCGCGATGTTTACAGCTGTGTCAAATCCACGTCTATTATAGATCAATCATTACTCTTTGAAACAGATATATAATTGTCACCAGTAACTATGAAAATATTCAGGAAATACTTGCCCAATGCAGTGACTGTACTATCAGCGAACGTGTCTCGTCTATGTCGAAATGGTAAGCATACTGGACCAACCTCAGCACTATATTTGATACTCCCAGCAATCTTACAAACAGCTACATCGTAGTAAGCGTTTGCGTTACTTTGATACCAAGGATGAATTTTGCATCCGATCAGTTTAAACAACTCGGTTGCTTTAGTATCTCTACCTGTCGGCAAAGAAGTATATATATTATACAAATTTTATATAAAACTCTGTTTTAAAACTTATTTATGTATATAAAAAAAATTTTATTATCAAATTAACAGAGCTTATAAACTTATTTCATTACTTTCATAATTTTTCTTTTATAATATATATTTATCATTTTTTTCTTTTATAATATATATAATCGATGTTTTAAAAATTATACATATATTAACTTGATCATTAAGCTATCATATATATTTTTTGTAACTTTGAATTTAAATTTCAATTTAGTAAAAAATATAGTACTGCACATACATTTATGATCAAATGAAAATGTAAGTAGTATTGATTAGTAATGTAAGTAGAATTAGCGCTTTTTTTATAAAAATATTAATAGAAAATGCTTTTTTTATCAAAAAATCGCTAATCCTACATTTACATTTTTATCATTCCTCCCTGGGTTTAATTAATAAGATAGAACTTTTGTAAACTTAAGTTTACAAAAGTTTTACCTCATTAATTTTATAATTTATAAATTTTTCAAATAAATTTGTATCACAATCAAAATATTCGATTTAGTTTAATACTATTACAAAAAATTCGATTTAGTTTAACACTATTACAGAATTGTAAACACAAATTTTATTTGCTAAATATTAATCAGATCTTTTAACAGTTACCTGTAGTTGTGTCATGTTTACCAACAAATATGCCAGTGTTATAAATAATATTGTCCTGTATACAATGGGCTGCCGTTAACACATATTGTTCAGATATTATGGTACAACCGCAATATATCATTTTATTTGTAATATCCATGAGCCCACACATCATGGGATATTCATTTATCCCAGTTTCTTTACCGCCTACTATTCTGGTCTAAGTAAGGAATGAAAATAACGATATTTAATTTTATTTATATTTAACTAATTAGTATATTCTTAATAAATTGTTGCTTAATTGATTAAAGCCATAATTGATTAAATTATAAAAACTGAATAAATTAATTATTTAAGAAATATATAGTATTTCACAAAGATTAATTAAAACTTACCACTTTTTTCCAACCACATTGGCAATAATTATCATCTACAGTTTTTATTTCGCATAAAAATCGACTTCCTTGCGAGTCATTTTGCGAGTCAAATTGTACAATTGGATTTATTCCTTCGCGAACAAATATATTGTAACCACAATAGGTAAATGTATCACTTCCAGCAAACTTAACAGAAAGTCTATTTTGATAACAGTTATTACTCTGTAAAATAATTTATTAAATTATTCATTCTTTTTGTTTCTAGCAAATCTGCCAATAATTTTAATAATATAAATTCTGGATTCTCAAGTAAAATTATTACATTATGCTTAAAAATTGAGTTAAAAATATGTCAACGCATTAATTTTAAACAAAATTTATGTAATAAACTTACCATTTCAATTGAACAATTTATTTTGATAACTTTGGAACTTTTCATTTCCCAAGTACAATAATTTTTACCTCTACTTAGATTGGGAAACTCGGGATTATATATGTAATATGTTTGTCCAGCTTCGATATTTTGATAGTAATTACATTGGGATTCAACTCCATTTAGCGCCAAGAGGAACAACAATAAACCGAACAGAACCTTGACTAGGATAATTATATTGCTTTATAATTATACTGATAAAATTCCATGTTATAGAATTTTGGCTGTGCTTATTTACTTTATTTGTTTTCTGAATTTGATATTAAAATTTATCATTTCTCTTTGATACTTTTTAATAACATATATTTCATAATTTTTATCTTCTGATCTGATAGAACAATAATAAAATACGTACGTAAGCTGAAAAAGGCATATCTTTACCTTGTACCATATACTTTGTTTTATAACTAGTGATATTAAAATTGTAACACTTATACATTCTCTTTGTGTATATATCATTTATGATATATAAATATATATATTGTATGTATTATATACCCTCTTAAGTACACTATTATATATCAATTATCAAATGTTATTGAAATTTCTTTAAATTGTTCAAAATTATTCTGAAATTATTATTCAAACATTAATTATTTTTAATATTATTTTCAGAATCTTTATTAATAACAGATAATTTATTAATAAATTTATATAAATCTTTTAAGTTTCAATGCTATGAATAATCCTATCTTAAAATTGCCGTGTTACCTGCGTTGGTGAGTGATGGTGGGTCAAAAAAAATTTTTTATTTTAAAAATCAAACGATATAAAAAATCTTCAAAAAAATTTTATTTTAAAAATCAAATGATATAAAAAATGTTCAAAAAAAATTTTTACCTTAAAAATCAAATGCCATGTTATCTACATTGAAGCTTCTTTTCCCCAATGTTTAAAAATTCATATTTTCCAGAAAAATAAAAACATCGACTTCTTTTTGGGCTTATTAGGATATTATTAATTAAAATTTATTATTTATTATTATGTCTACTGAATTATTGCATATGATGTAATACTATAATATATTGTATATTTTTTATACTTCTTTAGAATTTACATTTTCAAAAATGTGTATGCGTATATATATGTGTTTTTGTACAATGTAGATTGACAAATAATAAAAGAGAAAAGGCCAAATTCGACCGAAGCAAAGATATTAGTTGCCCAATAATATTCTTAAATTTTAAATCTTTAAATTTCAGCTATCGTAAAGCGCGCCAATTACTATGGGGGTCTTTAAGAACACAATCATAAAGCTGAATTAGCTTATTACAAATTAGCGATTAATTGTCAATTCGATGATGATGCTACAAGCATCGCTATTGTAAAGAAAAAAGAATGCCAACATCTAGCCTTGGCCGAATTTGACTCCTTCCCCTTATTATTTGTAGTTTTTTTTTAATTATTATTTGTTTATTTATTATTTGTTGTTATTTGTTATACATATATCGGCCTTGTTTGAAATTATTGTTAATGTAGATTGAATTTACAGATTTAAAAATTTTAGCAAAAACAAGAGTTAGCCTTTTTTGTTGAAAAACAAGCGCTTGTTAAACAAATATTTAATATGTTGTAATAATTTCAAATATGTTAAAATTGATAATGATTTACGATTTCGCGCAAACCTACACGTTGCTTGCAAGCTGAATTGCTTTTTTTTAATTGTAAAATAATGAAATATATAGAAATAAAGTTTTTAACATTTTTATATAAAGTACTGTGAATAAAATAATTTTCTAATTTGTGTATATAATTCAAGTAAACGTTTGAGTTTGATGTATTTATAATAATGTATTACTCCACTATATATAGGGTGTTTCCTAAATATAGGACAAAAATTTAGGGGGTTATTCACTGGGTTATTTTAAGAATTTTTTGTTCTCTGATGATTTTCGAAAAGCCGCTTTGTTTCGAAAATAGAAAGCAATAAAAGTTTTTTGATCACGCGTGTGAGGCGCGAATAAATAAACGTAGCAAGCTAGTGCGAATGTTGAAAACAATATCCTAATCTGTCAATCTTTCAAATTTGTTTATTTGCCTTGATAGTTAAACTTTTGTTAGTGAAGTTTTCTTCATGAATCGCTATACGAACGCTGAAATGACTGACATGCATTTCATGTATGGTCTTGCCGATGGAAATTCGTTACGGGCTAGGCGATTGTACATTGAACAGTTCTAGTTCTTACTATAGTCATTTTGAACAGTTCTTGTAATTTTCAATAATTTTGTTTAAAAACCTGTATCGCCTGTTACCTATGGAATAAAGCATTTTTTCGAAAATCATCAGAGAACAAAAAATTCTTAAAATAATCCAGTAAATAACCCTCTGAATTTTTGCCCTATATTTAGGAAACACCCTGTATAGTGCAAATTTAACAAGCATTGAATAATCCGCTTGATATTATAATTTTATAATTGAGAATTTTAGAGAGTTATTGATATACAATTAACTATCTTTTTGATCATTTATTTTCAACTATATCACTTATCGAATTACTAAAAAGATCTATATATGAATGAATTCTTTGACTTATTAATTATATCGTATATGTAGTATATTTTATATACCATGTATATATACCATATAAAATTATTTTGTGCTATTCAAACATATACTCTTCTATATTCAGTAATATTAAAAGTTTGAATACCTGCTTGCATGATATTTCAGCCAAAATTTTCTAGATTTAGCTCCTTGAGAAGATAAATTACTGTTCTGACAAATAATCACTCGCAATATGCGACAGATGCGTCTGCTTTTATCCCGATGCAAAGATAAAGTAAACTCAAAACTGATAATATCTCAGATGTCTTATCTTTTACAGTTGTAGCTTGCGAATAGAGCAAACGTGGATATCTTTGAAATATCATAAAAATAATAATGAATTTGACGAGATATATATATTAAAAGCAGCTCACATATAGCGCTTTATAAAAAGTTATAAAAAGCTGTTGATCTCTAGCTTTTTGAAATCAGAAAAAAATTCTAAATATATCATTTTACGTTTTTACGAAAGGAATTATTAAGTTAACGAGCCCCAAAGACATAGGCACCGTGTTATTTTGGAAGAAGCTTTTTGCATGGAAAAATTAATAATTTATTTCTTTTCTCAGTAAAAATGTAAAATACAACAAACTGTATTCATTTTAACTATAACAAAAAAACTAAAGAAGGAGAACTAAAAAAGGGCCGATTTTGGCCTCCAAAGGTGTAAGTAAAAACAATAATGTTTTTTTATAGATTTTGATCTCCTGAATACAATAGAACTATTAAAAAGTGCACTTGAAAAACACCTTGAAAATTGAGCATAAACACAGCGTATTTAGTAAAAACGCTGTACGTGTTTATGTTTCATTTTCAAGGTGTTCCCCAAGCGAATTTTTAATAGTTCTGTCGTATTCAAAATCTATAAAAAAAAACACGATTGTTTTTACTTACACCTTTGGGGGCCAAAATCGGCCCTTTTTTTAATATCCTCCTTTAAAGAAAAGATTTTATGTTATTTTCATTAATGGAAACTTTTGAATTTTTCTAAGATATTGCGGTCTTATTCGATCTCTATTTTTAGAAATATATAGATCTTTTTTCATAAAATTTTAATATACAAAACTTAATTACTAAATTATATAATGTTGAAAAAGATAAAAATATAACAAAACACTACCAATAAAGAATTGATTGGAAAGTACTCGTATGTCTATACAAATTCTGTTATTCATTTGTTTGTATATGTATAATAATAGCGATATGATAATAAAAGTTTTACAGATATTGTCTTACATATTGTCTTACATTTGTAGCATGTTTTTATTAATGCTATATTATATAATTATAACATTATATATTTGTAATTGTATGTAATTGTTAAAATAGTAGTCGTAGAAGTAGTTTTACTGGTTCACAGCCTATTCAATTGATACTAATTTTAACTTTCACGTACATTTCATGCTCTCGTAGAACTTGCGACAAAATTCCATCGTCAGGCGACGCACTAGTGTATCGTAACAAGTAACTTTTGTAAATGATTAGACTAGTAGTTTGCACCTAAAGTGTATCGTGTCAAGTGTTTTACTGACAAAATGCATAAAGAGACAATTGTTCCTTGAAATGTACGTATAGATCGACTGCAGTCCTATCATTTTGCGCAAAACGGCAATAATGTATAATGCGTCGATATTCGTTTCTACATTACCTCAATAATGCGTAAATATCTATTGATTTTATTCTATATTTTTTCCCGCAATTATTATATCGATAGACAATAATTGTAATTGACAATATTATATTTAATGCAAACAAATAAAAAATATTGATGTTTATTAAAAACACACCACTTTTATTTGTCTTTTCTAAGCAAATTCTAAATATAAATTTAAAATATTACAAGTTTTTGATAATTATAAATCGCTATATAGAAAATAATACAGATGTGAAATTTCAAATCTAGATAAATATATGCTTACGATATATGTATATGTAGTTCAATGTAACGCAATAAAGCAAACTAAGAAATGACGTTACGATACACAACAGTTATGTATACAGTTTGTTACATACCAACAGTAACGTGCTGGAATAGCGTGTCGTTGTACATACAAGTCACATTAATATTTACGACACGTAGTGTCGTAATTTGAAATGTTCCACAAGTATAAACGTGGGAGAGGGGAGGAGATAACATTTTTTATCTCGCACGTAACACAAATTTATACATATTGTGTTTTACTTTTATTTACAAATTAATTGTCCTTTCCCTTATTTCCTTATTCCCGTATAAAGTGCATGTAAAATAAATATTTTACAAATGTATAATAACAACTTGTTAACAGCAATATTGAGCGAATGTGATTACAGGCTATATTATTACTTAAAAATTATTTAAATCTTCTGTAATTCTATAGTTATTACTATATATGTATATTTACATACATATAGTTCAAAAAATTTTAATTTTTGTTGATAATATTTCAATACATAATAAATGGTAATTATATATATGTGTGTGTGTGTGTGTGTGTGTGTGTGTGTGTGTAATATACAATATACATATATAAGATTAAAAAAAAACTGTTGCGTCGAAACAACCACTTATATACACTACCCCCGGAAAGTTTCCGGACAGAAATAAAATTTTTATGTTTGAAATTTTAAGCCGCTAAACTTAATGTGGCACTGTAAATCAAAAAGTAGATGATTTTGATCGTTTTAAGAGATACTTTAAGGTACTCTGTAACGATTTTAAGTTTAATACATTCCTATTCCTCTAAACTCTTAAATCTGAGAGGCATCTTTGCCATATTGAAAATTGCAATGTTTGATTGAATGCACGGCCTTGGAAAAAATTTTTTCGGAGATATGATTTGCAGCGTCATAAAATTTAAACTTTCCTCTTTAATTTGAAAAAAAATGCAAGTCGCTACGATTTTTTTCGCAAAGTTACAGCATTTTAAAGTAACCCTTGTATTTTTCTCATGTATGGTCGGTATTACCCGTGCACTATAAGGAGGTTGGAGATCGAATTTTGCACATTGTGTGCGTGCAAACATGTTTAAAACATACACACACAGTGTGTAAAATTCGATTGCCAACCTCCCTATGGTGCATATCGAGTAATGTCGATCATATGTGAGAAAAATATACGAGTTACTTTAAAATACTGTAACTTTGCACAAAAAAATCGTAGCGACTTGCATTTTTTTCTCAAATTAAAGAAAAAGGTTCAAACTTTATGACGCTGCAAACCGCATCTCCGAGAAAAATTTTTCCAAGGCCGTGCATTACGTCAAACATTGTAATTTTCATTATGACAAATATACCTCTTAGATTTAAGAGTTTAGAGAAGTAGAGATGCATTAAACTTAAAATCGTTACAGAGTATCTTAAAGTATCTCTTAAAATGCCAAAATCATCTACTTTTTGATTTAGCACAGTACCGCATTAAGTTCAGCGGCTTAAAACTTCAAACATAAAAATTTTATTTCTATTCCGGAAACTTTTCGAGAGTAGTGTATATAGTTAATAATTCTAATTAATATAAGTCAGAAGACAATAAGCGTAAATGTCCATGTTATTGTATAATATCTTTCCCACCTTTGTTATATTTACAATTTTTTACAGGCACAGATTTTCTAATGTCTTTGTGTATAACTATGTATCACATACATTGATACATATATTCATAGTTTCACTCATTGTCAGTAAATACAACTTTTAACTGAAAGGCTGAGTTGAGGTCAAAACTCTGATACTGATATAACTATTATATGAATACTGTAGCAAAGATTGTATCTGTGAGTAATTGAATGTAGTATTTTATCACATTGACATTTTATGCTCACCGATTCGTAATAGACCAAGTACATTTTAAAAAGTCTAAAATGAGAAGAACAATTATATGTATACGAGAGTGATTTGGATTTATGGATTGTTTGGTAAATATTTCCGTGGCTTACTCTAAAGATGGCGCGATATAAACAACTTTTGTCATAAGAGTGACATCAAGTTAATTTATTTCTTACTTTAAAATACGCATACATGCATATGTAAACATGCATAAATTCTTTTTTTTTTTCATTTGTTTAAATTTATTACTATCTTTCGATTACAATTATTATATCATATAATTATAACATTTTAACAATTGGCTAGTTATAATATTTCTAACATAAATATTAATTAAACATGAGCCGGATATTTTCTTGAACTTTTTCACATATGCAGTGTATCGCACGCATATGTTATTACTGTGTATCTTTCATAGTTAAAATAATCTAAAATAATCTAACTATATAAAAACTATCTCACCTTTCTCTTTTAAGTTGCAAAACAAAAGCGTAACGGAAAGCCCTTCAACAATCGCCATGTTAGTGGCTTATTAATTAACGTCGCGCGCATGTCTGTGTTAGAACATTGTGTGTTCCTTGCGTAACAATTTTCACGTATGTCGTCTGACGTGCAAGACAGCATTAAAATATAATGCGCTAATGTACAATGTTTGTAACATCTGACACATGGCACATGTTTTGGAGTTACACACAATTGCCACAAATTGCATTATGTTGAAAACGTGATGAGGCCGTAAGCGCAACGATGAAATAGCCGCAAAAATTCAAACTGTAAAACAAACTACTTGAAATTTTTAGTAAAAATAAAAATACAATAGTGGATAAATATATAACACGCGAATAAATAGAAAATTTAAAATAAATCAAATTAATTAAAACAATCATAATATTTGTACATTGTCAGATTTATATATATATTATTTTATTCTCCAAAACTCATCTAGTCGATAGAAAACTGCAGCTATTGTTATATCTAAACACTATATTTCTCTTGCACATTGAAAAGCTTCTAGCTTTAACTCGAATTATTTCAAATACTTATTCATTTACACGCATATACACCTGATATATATGTATATTTATTTAAAAAATATTAAATCAGTATACATTCTCAAAGAAAATTACAATCTATAAAAATTTCTATAGTTATCTGAAATATACATGCAAATATCATAAAATTTTATAAATGTCTTATTTTCTAATTCTATCAATTTTAATGGCGGTATCTATATTAAAAATGTAATTATTTTATTTTTGTTTCTGTAATTATAGATAATTAGTTCTCTAAATATTTGATACACCAGTGCTGTATGTGCGCTAAGATAATTTTAAAATGCAAGTTATTGCAATATTTTCACTAACATTTTACTTATAAAATTAAAACAAGAGTAACAATAATTAAAGTTCAAACTTTTATATTGTATATAAGCTATAAAGAAATAATCAGTAATGAAGTTGAATAGATCTCTGACAAAACTGACTTAGCCGCAGCGTATTATTACAGACGCATAAAGTTCGCACGTGTCATGGATATTTTATAAAGCGTCACGCAAAGCGTGATGATGGGTAATACATGCGGAAAACAACCTAAACGCGATAGCGCTCAGTGTAAACGCTCTCGACATATAGTTGCAAGGAGATTTTTTAAAGTTATTTTCTTCAACTATACAGAATACAAACAATATATACACGTAAAATGCATGAATTATTCCCCGATGATGGCAATAATTATATATACGCATTTGAAATGTAACTGTATGGTTATCAAAACTTTTAAACACAAATATTAAATAATCGATACAATTGTTTTTTTTTTGTAACAATAAATTGTATCTTTTTGATCACAAAGATCATATAATATATTTTTCATTTCTATTTATTATAGGCACACGTATAGGTATACGTATATGCACAGGCAATACGTACATATTAATAATATTATACGTTCCTCGCTATTTGTGTCGAATATAAAGTATATTCGATTTACTTTCTTACCATATTTGAACAGTTTATGCAATGCTAATGTCGACATCTGACGAATAGAAATGTTATGATAATAAATGGCTCCACGCATACGGTACAATGTTAATGTGTCGATAGAGTCAGAATCGATAGAGTCTGTTCTTTAAAAAGAAAAGTTTGTAAGTAGAAAAAAAATTCGCATTTATATTTATTTGCCGATAAAAAAGATAAAAATTTTATAAATTTATTTTAATTATATATATATATACCTATATATTTTTTTTAATTAATAGTATTCTCTTATTATCTCTAATAAAGAGTACTATAGAAGTAATAGTAGAAAGTATTATTATATCTTAAATTATTATCTGTGAAAATATAATGGATAATTTAGATGAGGCTAGCTAATTAATCGCGAAAAATATTTAAATAAAATTTTACGCAAGATGACTATTGCATCCGTGAATGAAATATGTACATATGTTTCATAGCTAATTCGATATGTAAAATAAAAAAATAATTTCTATAATTCGATTTGACTCAATTAAATAATTTGAATTAAACATTCAAGCAATGTAAAGATAAAGGTATACAAGAGAATCCTCTCGAAACAAACATAAATGAAAACTTTCTTCTTTCTTTATCAAATACATTAACGGATCGTCAAAAGATTCCTCGGAATAAATTATAAACGGGAAATTTTTTTAACATGCAGTTGTTCTTGATAATATAACAAAAAACAAAAGTTGTGAATGATAAGTTATACATAAGTATCCATTTCGCCAGTTAATCGTTCAGCGCAAAACATTTAATTAGTCGTGATGTTATTTGAAATAATTTTCATTATTATAACTTTCTTTTTTAATATTTAGCGTCAGAAATTATCTCAACTTCAAGTTATGAATCTTGTTATAGATCTCAGATGTTTAAAAGTTCAAAGTTGATAATATTCGAGATAAAGATTTCAATACTACACCGTGATATTAATTTGGCGATGTATGTACATCTTGATTTTATTTGTCTTTTTGTGATAAAGTATATCAAACAAAATTTGCATTATAGAATTGGAAATTGACTACAAAATTGGAGTAAATATATTGTGGATAAATGTTAATATTATATATGTTCAAATATAATACTTTTGTCTTTTATAAGCGTATTTGCGCAAAACTCGTCGAATAATAAGTGTTAACGTAGCAAAGAACATTTATACTCGATATAGCGTTCGCCGTTATTGCATTTTATTAAACAGTAATCATGATATGTTTAAAACTATGTTAGCAAGCACGAATATTTGTATGAACTACGTATTATACTATTTTCACATAAATGCATTTCAGGAACAACTTAAGGCGTAATTTTGGACAATTTCCTATCATGAAGCAGTTTCTAACGAGTTTCTTTCGGAGCGACCTAAATAACTTTTCCAATTTGCCACATTCAATTACATTCTTATAAACAATAAAGTATTGCTTATTACAAATAACTAATAGATTTGTTGATGAATTATTATATAATGAAATAGATAGCATAAAATGTAAATTACATGCGAGAATTTTCATCTCTGTTTAAAATCAATATGCATGCATTTATACGTAAATATGTGTGTGTGTGTGTGTGTGTGCGTATGTGACGGGGTGTGTGTGTGTGCATGTGTGTGTGTGTGTGCGTGTGTGACGGAGTGTGTGTGTGTGTGTATGTGTGTGTGTGTTAGTGTTACACAGTAGATTAAAAATCATATTCCTTCATATCTTCCAGAAAAATAAAGATATAGACTTCTTTCTCATCTTAAAGATGAATTATGTGGCTATTTTTAAAAAAATCGAGATTTTATTAAAAAATGATCGATTCAATATGGCCGATCAAAATGTCATTTTTTTGAAAATTTATTTTTTTCAAAAAATGTTAAAATTTGTTTAATTAAAATAGGTGGTGGTTGAAAATTTATTTTTTTCAAAAATTGTTAAAATTTGTTTAATTAAAATGTAATTTGGTATAAATGTTATTGGAAGATGTATGGGATATAATACGCAGCGCGCGCCTGTTATGTATTAGTCAATTTAAAAATCATCTTTTGAGAAATCCAAAGAATAACACTTACTATTTTACGAGGAGCAGGTTTCTTCTTGTCTTGTAATACGGGAGCGGAAAGTAACCCCAACGACTTTCTTTCTGCGGCTTGCCGTTCTTGCAGCTCCACAGCGTCCATTAATTTCTTTGTGGACACATTATTTTTTGTGGCACAACTCTTCATGTGTATAGCTTGTGAAGCTTCATCTTTGAGATTTTTAAAACACAACGGGCATACATAAGCCGTTTTCACGTCAGTTAAACTCTGCGGTGACTCTACTTCTTTCTTTTCCGATTTAAAAAAGGATGACTCAATCAATGGTTGCTGTACATCGCATGGAATCCTTTTACTCTGTAATGCCTTTCTACTTTTAGATTTCTTTTCATTGCTAATAATTTTTGCTTTAGAATGAAGTACTTTCTTCTTCTTGGTTTTATCCAATAGTCTGTTTCTATTAATAATTTTCGATTGCATGGAATGTATTCTTTTTGGCGATTTAAAATCCAATATACTATCATCGTCATGTGGAGATTGGGATGTACCAGCAGTATCATCATTCTTGCTTTCATTATTGGAATTATTAGTAAGATGAGCCTTGTTAGCTACACTAAATAAAAGAACATTTATGTTATTTATGTATCTTTATTTAGATATCTTGTGCCTCAAATAGCTTTTATTAATACTATATTTAATAGCTTTTATTAATAAAGAAAAATCGTTGCAAACGCAAATTTAATTCTATTTAATTTAGGAAAAAAGAACATGACAATAAAAACATCGTGGGATACATTTTATACTTCAAATATATTTTTCCTCATTTCTAATGTTATTAGAAAGATACATGTTACATTAAACTATAAGCTATTTATTTAACATATTTTATACATGTTATGATACCTTTCTCTATCATTTTTCCTTAATCTCAATCTTCTCTCCGAACTAACAGGTTTACAGAATTCATCCTCTTCGACGTCCATTATTGTTGCAAAACTTTGGATGTTTTGTTGTTTAAACTTTAGTCATTAGTTTGCTTCCTTCGATTCGCTGGAATCCTTCAATTCGCTGGAATCCTTCGATTCAACTTCCACTGTCAATTTAGCCCGCTGTTCTTTAAATAGCTTTTCAATAGTATTTCTAAAAAATGGACTTGCAATGGAATCTCTTAGCTTATCCTTTTGGTCCTCGTTGAAATGGCTGGCTATGTACTCTTCATCATTTAACAGAGGAACAACACTGTAGGACAAAATTTAGCATTAGTTTTAAAGCAGTAGAAGCTTCATTCACCAGATGGAACTGATTACACATTATAGACATTAGAGATTAGATTAGATTAGCTATTTATTACGCGTTCTGAAGTCATACATGCCTTCAAGCGCTAAGATAAATACGACTGAATATGTATCTATATCTGAACACAAAATTTATTAATCTCAAATGCTATTTTTTTATAATATTAAAATTTAATTGTAAAAATATTTAAAGATTACAATTAAATTATAATATTATGAAAAAAAAGCATTTAAAAATAAGCTTTTGTGCACCTGTTTAGATATAGA